AAGAACGGCCTGTTACATCTAGGGGCGACATTCTTATCTATATGTTATTTCTGGTTAGTCTTGACCGAAATATTTCCGTTGAACATGAGCGTCGGCTGTAATTATCCATTTTTCCTAATTAAGTCAACACGAAAAGGATATTCAAACTCCGTACGGAGAATGCTACAAGGGAGGTAATCAATTTGACATTTTTCGCCTTGCCTCCACCCCTAAGTTGTTTGTCCATTTAAAGGACTAAATCGAAAATATATTAAGTTTAAATTCGGAAGGAGTCATAAAAATGATTTTAAGGGATTACACAGAGGATGTTGCATAACGAAAATGGAAACTAACCCTCATGACCCCCAATGGACATTTTAATTTTCTTTCACATTTTGCGTGAATATACCGTTTACATGTGCGCATGTATATTTTAGGTCAATGACAGATATAAAATATTGTCATTTTTTTCTTCTCCCTGGCTACACGAATTTATTGCTCAACCCAGGGTAGTGTTTATACAGACTGAGGGAAGGGGGAAAGTCACGCGCAGTGTGTGATGGACTGAGAAACAGCTGTTCTTTTAGAATATATATAGATTTATATTTGCTGCCTTTTTATGCACACCCCGAACCTTCGAGATTGAGCCTCGGCAAGTGATCAGCACTTTATTATTATTATTATCATTATTATTATTATTATTATTATTATTATTATTATTAAAATCTTCAAATGCCAACAAATCTCTTAAAATCATTCTCACTGTCCCCCATTGATTATGTAAGCCTTCACACAATTTATCTCTACATATCCCGTTAATATGTGCTTTTTTGTTGTTTACGTTCACAACAATTGATGGTTTTATGGGTTTTCAACCCTTTGTGGTTTATTTAAAGCCGAAAACAGATTCGGGATAGTAAGAATATTTCTTATTTGCCAGTGAATATTGCATTAACAATTTCTTGGTGATGACAATGATTTTTTTTGTTTTTAAATATAAGCTATGACTGCGTTGAGAAGAAAAGGCTTTATACATTTCCCCAGGGTTTTTAGGCCTAAGTGACAGGAATTTGAATTCCCTTTCCGATTTCTCAACTCTATCAGAACATCCTTTCACCAACCTGGTAGAAATGAAAATTCATTTCAACTTCTAAAAATTTTAAATTATTATGGCAATCATTTCTTTGTATCCGTCTCATTCTATTAAAAAAATGTTATATATTTCAGATACTATCAAGCCATAAGAAGTTGAAACTAGTTTTTTACATTCAAGTGAATTAACTGGTTTAGACATTATTCACTTTGAAGATTGTTTTTAGTATCGTGCTACCTCGCTTGCAACTGGAAATGGTTAAAAACAAATGTTTATCACGTGACTCACCCTGATTTCATGTGACTGTCAAAGAATGTCATGCTTTTAATACAACAATGTCCACATTAGCTTCTTACAATAGATAAATTTCTTATTCTATTCTCTACAAATATTTCTTTCCTTATTAAATCAGTGCATAGTTGTCTGTCTCCAATGGACGTATACTACGCTTATCTCAGTTTGGCATAAGGATGGGACACCCATCAGTGTTTATTTAGTTATACTAAAGAATGATCTGCTATATTAATTAGCTCTAGGTCTAGATAGGTATATAGTAAATTTAACATCGTCTGAAACAAGGCCAGAATAGTGGGACACCCAGAGGGATCAAATTAGCTAATTAGGTAATTTTCTGTCTTATTAACTTGTTTTAAGCTAGGCGCTCAAATCTAGATCAATATAGGCACACAGTAATCATAACACGGTCTGACACAAGGTCAGTATAATAGGGTGCCAGTGTTAATCCAATTAGCTTTATAGGTAATGGCCTGCCATATTAACTTCCTCTTTGCTAGACGCCCAAATTATGGTCTGTATAGATAAATAGCAGGCTTACACATGGTCTGACACCAGGTTAGTATAACAGAGGGAAAGTTGTAATCGAATTAGTTTTATTAGGTAATGTTACCTGTCAATATGATAGCGGCTCAAAATGTGAAATCGAAGAGCTTGCTCTACGCTAGGCGCCCGAATCTAGGGGTGTATAGGCATGTATTAAGCTAAACATGACCTAGCACAAGGTCAGAATATTGCGGCGCCAGTGGGAATCGAATTAGCTTTACTAGCCTACCATATTAACTTGTCCTAAACTAGGCGCCCAAATCTAGGTATCTATAGGCACGTAATAAGCTTAACATAACTTGACTCTCAGCAAGAATAATGAGCCATCTGTAGGGATCAAATTGGCTACACTAATATTCTGCCATGTCGTATTTTTTTTATATATTTCAGGCGCCGAAAAGTTGATCTGTATCTACCAGCTTGTCTTTTTGGAAATTATATTAAGTCATTTGCTCTTCTGGCTACAAGAATTTTACGTCATACTGTATTTCAACAGCCTTCAAAAATCATACCCGGTGTACTTGCAGTGTGTGGGTTGCTTTGCCAAACACCACTTAGTTTTGTGTATTGTTCCTGTCCAAGTTGAACAATTCCTGGTTTTATCCAGTTTCTATGACAAACAAAGTAGTCGTAGATATAATCTCTCCGATTATGTTTGTAGTATTATTAATTGTCACTTAACCCTATCCCAGACATGTTATTTTGAGGTTGTGAAAAGTGCCAAATTTATAATGACACTAGCAGGCTTCACCCTCGCACTATCTAGTAATTTTTCTAGGAAAAATTAGTTGTTTTCTATGAGATTAATATTCACTATTTATGAAATATTGAAAGGGTTGTGGACGTTCAAGATTTTTATTCAAAGAATATGACTATAAAGACAGAAGAAGTTAATTGGTCACGTGTGGGGGCAGGATTGTTATAGTTAAGGATAGTTTTACAAATAGATGTCAATTTGTTGAAGGCCAAGTAAAATGCAAATATCATACACTTTTCTGCACTATAGAAGACAATATTCCTAAACAGAATTATTTTTGATATGGAAATTAATACAATCCTCGAATAAAAGAACAGTAATGAAAGACAGTTAATTAATGAAATATACTTTTTAAAATCAATATGCAAATTAGTTAAACCTGAAAAGTGATATCGCCTAGATGATACATAATGCATATATTGAGATTGTCGAGCGTAAATTACTATCCGTGGTGGAACTGGGCTCCTTTATTGCATTTAATCATATAGACGGCGTTCCAAATAATGACTTATATTGTTTGAAAACTGACTTGATTTTTTTTTCTTTATTTTCTATTAGTTACTGTTTGGTCTTTTATAAAATAACAGTATAAAACGTGAAAGATTTCAAAGTAAATAAACTGATATTGGAAGGCTAAATGAAAACTCTAGGTATTTTTGTAATCACAAAACACCTCAGGTCAGCAAAAATATGCTGGCGTTAACAGGATTCACTATACTCACGATAGGCTTAGGCACCTCGGTGTGGTGTAATGGTTAACAAACTCGTCTCGCTAAAGCAGTTACGATCGAATAGTGAGTTCGATCCTCACTCTGTGCCCTATACTCCTGGCTTTGCGCCACATCTGAGCTATACTCAGAAAATCACTTGGGCACCTCGAGGCGGTGTAATGGTTAGTAAGTTTGTCTCGCTAGAACAATTACGACTGATTTCGATCCTTACTTTCAGCCTTGCGCCATATCTAAGCTACGCTTGGGAAATCCTTAATCACATTTAGGATAGCTAAACAATTTTATTGTTTTAGCAACTGTCGAGTTTTAGTAATATACGTGGAGTTTCAAATCCATATTTCAACAAGAAAAGGAGCAGTGTGAATTGAAATTTGTTCGCGGGCAAACAAAAAAAAAGCCCACCTATTAGGACATCGTTAAAGGTTTATTATGTCTGCAATCTTTCTTTCTTTCTGGTTAGTTGGATCTTTTGCCATGCACTGAAATTCAAGGGATATACTTTCCTCAATACTGCTTTTTTTTCTCAGTATTTTACAAGATTTTATAAATACTGCCGTCTTCAAGGTTAGATTATTTCTTTTACTCGGAAATTATCTTTTGAACCCAGACATAATTTTTCATCAACTAAAGTACCCCGGAATTAAGACTCTCTATCTATCTTCCTCAAACCCGAAACGATATTTTGGTCATTTGGGAAAGATAACATCAATCAGAATCCTAGACTAAGATCCTTATTTGGTCAACAAGTTTCTAAATTCTAAAATAAATTTCGATTTCGCGAATTCATCATTTTAATCGAAATCTCTATTTTAGGGATTTATTCCTGTGTATACATTTAGTTATACAGCAATGAAAGATTGTAAATATCACTCCCACCTTTTGTTTACTTTTTGCCATCAACCTATTTAACATATTTTTGCTGATGCAAAATCTCTCTGAAAACTTCGATGGGAAATCCTTACCCATCCCTACTCATTGTGCTGTTAACATGTTTCACTCGGCCGGGATTCGCAAAAGCCCTAAGTTAGAAGTTTGCTATCACGATCATGATCCAGCTCCTGTTTAGTTCATTCGCATACTTGTAAAATTATCCATTAGCAATCATTAAGACTGCCTCCTTCTTAACTTAATGGGCGCAGTAGAATTCGTTTTAGAATTCTTTTTCTTTATTTTTTTTCTATATATACAAAAATTTGTAATCACCCTCTATCAGTGATAGAGATCAAAAGTATGAAATTATTTGCGAAGTATTTTTTGTACCCAGAAATTATTTTCACCAGCTAAAGAACCCCGGATTTCTTTTTTGTCGAAACAAAAACTCTATTCTCCCGAAATACGAATCGATTATGGTCATTCAGGGGAGATAACTTGAATCAAACTCCCTGATGAGGACACTCATTCTGTAGATTCTAAATTCTAAGATACGTTTCGATTTCGGGAAGTACTCATTTTGAATTTGGGTATAATGTTAAATGGAGGTGGTGGTGGAAGTGGTGGTGGTAGTGATTTAAGTGGTAGTGATGGGGGTTCGGGGAAAATGGTTATTATTATTATTAATTTTGTGCTTAGGAGGTGAGGTTTTGTTAAAATTTGAAAAATGTCACACACTGGTTACTTTGGCCAGACTAGTGGGACTCTCAATGCTCTTCCGGGCAGCGGACGTTGCTTCCACAGATCGTGTTTGACGGAGGGAGCCAGGCGGGAGATCACCAGTCTTTAAAGCCACGGGAACACTCTGACGTCTGGACAGTGATCTGGGAGGGATGGCCCTCTTCATCGGCGATACGTCGTCCTTGTCCCCCAGTTTGATGACGCCAGGCAACTGGGGGTCCTCAGCCATTTCCGTAATAATGGTCGGAATATTAGGGAAGCGCATGTCTTTTGTTTCGGATATCTCACTTTTCTCGGATCTTTCCGGCTTTTCGGCTCGTTCAGCCTTGTCTTTCTCCGGTGACGGGGGCACGATAGTCGCCTCCATGGACCTCGTCGCGTGTCGCAGGATTTGCGAGCAAACCTCTTTGGATTCTATAGGAATAACCGACTCTTTGGATTCAAGAGAGGCAGTCTGCTTAATGGGTTCTCTCGCACCTTCCGCCGCCTTCGAGTCGTGGTCTATGGGGTGGGACTCGAGCAAAATTCTCTGATTTCGCCAACGGATACTTTGTAGAATTCCTATCGTGGTAATTTCAATATGATACGTTACTTTACGATCGCTAGTGGCCACCTCAATGATAGACACGTTACAATCGGCAAAAACGTCACTCAGGTCATTGATCATAACTACACCCTGAATTTCCATGTCTTTTTTACGCCGTATAGTGACGGGAGCTTCACCGGAAGGCATACGAAGAGTCGAACGCACTTCAAAATCAGCGACCATCTCGTCTTCTGTTAGCATAATTTTCGCTTCAGTAAGATAATTTGGTTCGACAACTACGTCACTGTCCGTCTCCCATATGTAAGTTTCTTCGATGGTTTCGCCTGGAGGACGGGTGACGGTGAGTTGACCGCTCAACCCAGCACTTACGCCACAATCCGAGTACTTCTCGGGCAGCTGTAGTTTTAAATAGAGGTTTGTACAGCATCCGACCACGTACCCCCGCTGACAGGTGATGGTCGTCGTCGCCTTTGTATGACGCTGGGTTTTTAACTTGTACGACTGCTCTTTTTGTGTATTATTTCTAAAGTTGGTCGAGAAGAGTACAACTTGCTTTTGGTCACGAAGTCCACTGGCCAGTTTTGAGCGAGGATTGAACTTGATGGTTCGATGGTATATTTCGAAGAAGCTCCATGGTATGTCGATGATGAAATCGCTGCGGCGAACAAAGATCCCTTGGATGCAACAGACATCACGCGTAAACTCCTTCCATACATAATCCTGGATTAGCTTTTGGATGTCAATGACAGGACCATAGTCCATTGCCGTGTCAGATCGCTTCCTTCTTGGACATAGCATGGCTATTTTCATTGAATCAAAATCAAATGAAGGTAGAGGCTGAAAATAAGCGTCAGAGTTATGATTGACCAGTGTTTAATTTCAGCCTTTCAGCTTTCCTTAAAATCTCAGGATGCTTATAGCTAAAATACAAATATAGTTGCACGCATAGGATTCTGTGTGGTTATGTAGATGCGTGTGTCAAAGAGAAGGAATATGTCTATCAGTGAAGGGGCGTATATATATATATCATACAATTCAATATATACACGTATATATCAATATATATATATACACACACACATACATATATATATATATATATATATATATATATATATATATATATATATATATATATATATATAATTATATATAAAGGCGCGTTTATTTGTTCTTTCTTTTTTTTTCTTTTTTCCGTTTGAGCTTTAACTAAAAGGACAACTGTCCCAGAATGAAGGAGAAAGGGAGTTTTTTTTTTTTTTTTTTACAAATGATCTGTGGGTGCAGTACAAAGGAAAGACCGACAAGCCGGCCGATTTCTGGCTGAGGTACGTACTCGTCGTCTAGTCCGATATAACGCCGGATCAAGATGACCACCTGTAAAGAGAAAATTACAACGGTAAGTATGAAACCATTAATACGGAGAAATTACACATTAATCACATGAAGAAAAACGGAACAACAGCTAAGAATACTGTGGCAACATAAAACTGAAATATATCACAAGCATTTGATAGTATCTGTAAAGTACTGTATTCTCCGGCTTACAAGACGCTGACTCTTGGAAGACACAAGCCATATTGGAAAGAAATTTAAAAAAAAAAATCATTGTCTAGGATACATGGCACAGTGGATAAAGGCGTTGGTTAGATCCAGTGACAGGATCCAAAGGAGATAACTGACAACTGACATCCATTAAACATGGCACGTAGAACTAGAACAGTCTAGACCAGTGAGAGAAATAAAGGGTTCAGTTCGACATTCCAACCACTTGAAGAAGACCGGAGCGTTTAACGGCCAAAACGGTGTAATAAATATATAGTCCGAATAATGTAAATAGTGAAAATCATTCTCGTGCAACAACACATTCACCATGCGTCCCTCACATACTGGCTGCACGTATTGTTTACATTAATCACTAGTCCAATTTTGTTTTCATGGCAATGACATACTAGTCAAGAGCAGAAAGGCTACCGCTTCTTCTAGTAAATAGAGCCTGTTGAAGTTTGTGGCTCGGCTCCAGGAAGATTTATAGTTTTGGACATTCTTCTAACAGCTAATACTGATGTTACATCATCTAAAAGGCTGAATTAGATAGCTAACATTATAGTGTAATGGCTCAACATACAAATCAGTCAAGGCAATTAGGTGACTGTTCAAGATTACTTGAGCCTGGGTGTTGCTTTACATTCTTCATGGAAGACGCACACGTATTTTTCAGGGTATTTTGAAGGAAAAAATATTGCGTTGCGTCTTGTGAGCCGGAAAATACGGTAATTATTATTATAACGTTTTACCAAATTGCTGAATCGACATTTTAATCGACTAGGTTATTGTCCCCCTAAGACAATCCTGAGTCTAGAAATTGGAGCTTTACACCTAGTTGATTAAAACGTCCGTGCAAGTGATGATAGTTTCTTTGGCGGGGTTGTGTCTAGACATTGACTCAGCGTTAATTGAGCGAGTGCAATAACTAAAGAAGAACAAAACATGAAATATCCCAACAAATCCCAGCGAAATGGGAACATTATATTCCGTAGATTAAATAACGGGTTCAGTTCAAAATACCCTGATGGTTAACTGGATCGGCAAGACCCTGTTGAAGGCCGAAACATTGTGATAACGTTGTGATAATAACAAGAAAAAGATGAGGGCATTGGTATGTCTATAATGATACTTCCCCATATCAAACATTTAGACAGTAATCATTGGATAAGTTGAGCAAAAAATAGCAGGAGACATTTTTCCGTTCTTGGCTTTGCAGGAATCAGATTTTTTTTTAAAATTAGAAAAGACAGACAGAAAAAAAATAAAAAAATACCGTATATACTCGCGTATCATGCGACTTTTGAAGACCTTATTTTGAAGCTAATTTTAAGAGGGTCGCATAATACACGTGATATAAAATTAGCGTATGTACTGCCGTTGAATAAACTATATATGCATTTACTGTTGTCAAGTTAACTTTAAAATTAGGTCATCAAAAGTAGCATCATACATCTCTTATGTACGGTAATTTAAAAAAATCCATATAGAAAATCAAATGAAGGGATGGTAAAAAGTAGGGAATCGGTTTTGTATTATCCTTTAGTATTAAACACATCCCCTATTTCATGACCATAGTAGATTCATAGATGAATTTCCAAAACATCCTTAGAGGTATTCAAATGAAAGGTTGATAGAAAGTGAGGTATCAGTTTTGTATTGTTCTTTAGTATTAAACTCATCCCCCATTTCTTGACCACTGTATATGCTATCTATTTCTATAATCTAGACAGATTTTAAGTAACTTTCAAAAAATATACTCATAGGTTGATTTGTTATATATACCGTATTTACTAGTGTATCATGCGATCTTTGAAGAGCTTATTTTGAAGCTGATTTTAAAGGGGTCTAATCATACATGAGATATAAAATTAGCGTATATACTGCTGGCCTTTGCTACGTTGTTGACCAAACTATATATGCATTTACTGTGGTCAAATTAGCTTCAAAATTAGGTTTTCAAAAGTCGCATGATACGCGAGTATATACTTTTTGATAAATAAAAATATGGAATTCGGGGTGTAGTTTGTAAATAATGTCACATCGTATTTATTTCCAAATAAGGAAATGCCCGGACAGCTAAATGTCAGTGTTTAAGTAGAGTAGAACTAACCATATTTGGTAATAGCAGAGATTGTTTGAGCCATTTGTAATGAGGTGATTTGACTGGATTCCGGATATCAAGCGAAGAACGATACGGATTATCCAAATAATCGTACCTAATAAGTAAAATCCAGAGATTAAAAAATATAAGCGGTGGGATTCGCGAAATCTATGTCGTTGAAAACTTAAAATAATTAGCCTCGCTTGGTGACACATGGAGTTATTCGCCACATGATATGTGCACACTTTGTCGATTTCAACTCCGTCTTCGGAGTCATGACGTAAATGAGACTCAACCAAATTTAGTTATTATCCTTGCCTATTCTTGTCACTGTCTTGCCAAATTAGACCTGTTTAAAGAAAAAGCAAAAGCAATCTCTATCTATAAAAGGCAGGATGTGTGCGTGTGTGTGTAACGAATGCACGGTCACAACTTTCGACGGATTTGCACCAAAATTTACATGCACATACTCCAAGTTAGCGATAAGGCCAAGACCGACTTTGCATTTCCCAATTCCCATCGATAGTGGAAATAATCGATTTTTTCATGCTTCTACGGCAGTTTTCATGTAGTTTGCGGCCATTTTGTACTGGCCAGAGTGAGAGCCAATAGCTGGATGCCACAAATAGACAGGAAGATTCTATTGGCCAGCGTGAGAGCCAACAGCTGACTGACACGAACTGGGTTGGGTGTGAAAAAGTATTTGTTGTTAACATTATTTTTTCATTCGTTTTTTCCAGTTACGAGTCCTTTTTTTTAAAAACTGATCGTTTTGTGTTCCTTTTGTTTAGTTCTTTTTTCGTAACAGATTTAATGTTTAGTATAGAGCTTAGAAAAAATTCGCAGTGTGAGATAGGCAAGAAGTAAGGCATGTAGCAACATCAGCACGGCAAAGGGCACTCCTTTAAAGGCAAGGAAGGGCAAAAATATTTTAAGTCAAGTGATAGCGATTGCTGTATGATCCGTACGATTTTTGAATCAAGCACGGGCAACGCCAGGTCATGCTGCTAGTTTGTAATGAAAAGAGAATAAATGCCAGGTAAGAAAGGTCGATATTGCTTCTCTTTCTTTCATCCCCTTTCTCTTCTAATTGATCCTAAAAATGGATCGAATTCGATCTATATGTCTGGATAGCCAACTCGGCCGAAGGAACGCGAGAAGTCGCTTCATAAGAAGAGAATTTGTTAGTCAGTGTAACCTGCCGCCTAAAGACGACAAACATGGCCTGCGGAGACTCCGCTAATACCAAGCCCGGTAAGAGTAGACCAAGCCTATTCCCCAAGGTTTGGCTGTGGGGAATCGGCCTGAGAATAGGCCTGGGACCGATGGTTGCAACTTTTGATAAAACCAATACATAACCTCTCAGCTGAGTTCCAGTAACGCCGACTTAAACATCTAGATTTGACGTCCATATCACCTTGGCTGCTCCATCTTTTCAAATTAAAAAGAAAGACAAACATCTCAAGACCAGACTATAATGCTACCTCCACTAATATCGGTCATGAACAGAGGGGCACAGTGGGCCAGCCACTCGAGGATATGCCTAACTGGTTAAAAACAAGCAAGTGAAAAACGCATCAGCGGTATAGAACGGGCATCCACTGTAGCCCATCTACATTAACCAAAGTCAAATATATACATATACAGGGGTTGGACAAAATAATTGGAACAGTTGCAGAATCCCCTGCTATACTTCAAAGACCTATTAAGAACTTTAACTGAAACTTCGTAATTGCAGGTTATATCTATTGTAAATATGTTTATTTATCTAATTTACTGTCTTTGACTTATTTATTTTTAGAATTTAGCAAAATTTAGGCAAATTGCGTGACCTCTCCGAGTTCGTAAAAGAGCAAATTGTTGGAGCTCGCATGGCAGGAGCCTCGATCACTAAGGTTGCTGAACTGTTTGGTTTTCCAACAGCTACCATATCAAGAACACTGATGCAATTTGAGAAACAGAGCAAGACCTTTAGCAACCGCAGCAATTCGGGCCGGACTTGCAAACTTACTGACAGGGACTGACATGCATTGAAACGCAATGAGGCAAAAAACATCGGACAAACGCAGCCAAAGTGACTGCTGAGTTGAATAACCATTTGAATAGTTCAGTT